TTTCAAAACATGCATTAACTAATAGGTTGTTTGTTTCACTTGTTTTTTTGAATTCAATTTTAAGGTGCCTTTTTTTTTTCTAGGTGAAAGCAATTGTTATTGGTCTTGGAGCAGGATTACTTCCCAATTTTCTCCATAAGTGCCTCCCTTTTCTAGAGATTGAGGTGAAATTCTATTTTCATTCGGTTGATGATATAAGGTTTAAAAAGTTGTGATTCGAAGGCGTAAGCTTCAACTGATTGAGGTTTATGCCTCACTTGCACACGCCTCTAAGAGTTAATGGTGGGTTGTTGTTGACTTAGTATTTCCACGCTCTCTGTAGCCGAGCTCCCCCATCTGTCCCCGAAGATGGCACCTTCGAAAATATTCTGAACACGAGAAATCAAATCAAAAAATATCTAGTATTACAATACAATATGCATGCTTAAAAAACAAAGAAGAATAAGCTTTTTGTGTTTAAAAGTTTCTAATTTAAAACGAGGCTTTACAAGCCTCAATTGTCTCTGAAGTAGTATTCTCTAATTCTCTTTACTTGGACCTCTCATTAGATGGTTTACTAATGAGCCCTCATAACCTTGTATAGCTATACCTCTCATTTGACTGGATGATGAGATTCGTCCTATTCATAGATCATGATTAGGCATTACAATTTTCTACGACAGAGTAATATTTCAGCAACATTTTGTCATATTCTACGTTTCTTACATTATTATTATTGATCATTCTAAACTTCTCTCTAGAATGCTCCAACATGTCCTCTTTAATAGAAGGCTCTAGACTTAGTTTCCTCACAATGTTCCTTGGACTTTTAGTGTCTTCCATCAACCTCTTTCAAGTCCATCCAAACATGTAGACAAGACGACGTGTTTTAAAACCTCTTTTTATAATTTCCGGTATTTTAAATCCTATTTTTTAAAGGTCAAATATGCAAAAAAGCTATTTTTTAATGGTTGAACCCACAAAAGCTAGCCCGCACTAAATTTCAAATTAGTTTTTTTAACGGTTAAGGTTGATTTGAAAAAATTAAATTTATTACGGTCGTAATAAATCAAAATCAATCCAAACTATAAACATAAATAAATTAAAAGCAATACACAAACAAAACTTATTTTTGAAATAGCACCAACTAAAACTATGATGAAAAATAACATTAATTACAATTATTTATAAATAAATTTTATTTAACCCAACTATAAACATAATAGATATTAATTAGCCAACACTAGTTTTGATTTCTTCGGTGTTTGTTCACAAGTTACACTTTAAATTGTTGTGATATAAATTTTCAAATTGTTTATGGTTTAATACTAGTGTGGTTTTGTGTCTTTATTTTATTTTATTATTATTATTATTATTATTATTATTATTTTTTATTTTTATTTTTTTTTGGTAAGGCTTGCACCTCTAAATGCTTTGAGGCTTCGGCTACATTTCACTATCCTATTTAGACTTTTTAAACATTGCTATCAAAGTATAAACTCGCTTGTCTTACCATGCTAATTCTCAATTTTATAGGTGGTTGAGTTAGATCCTGTGGTTCTAGATGTCGCAAGAGACTATTTTGGCTTTGAAGAAGATAAACATTTGAAGGTAATATGTTTGTATTTTCTCATTCCCCTTGTCATGCATTCTTTCTGCTTTTACAAAATCCATCGAGGTCAAACTTTAATCAGTTCCAATTTCTCTTCTGTATCTTTCCTTTCCCCGTTTGGCAATTGATGTAATTGCTGCTAATTAAGCAGTAAAATCAGCTCAGGAAGCTACGTAGCATACTCACCAATTCATGAGCCGAATAAAATGAACATGTTATTTTCTGGAGAAGTAGAATATTACACATTGAGGGCACTCCAATTAGTACAAATACATTGGCTGAATAAATACCTAGCCCCCGTTTGGTCCACATTAATTTATAATACATTTTTTTCTCTCTTCTTTTTAAGCACACATTCATCAATAAATAATATTAAACGTAAACCAAAAACTTTTCCTTCTTTTTCAACCACGCATTCTTCAAAAAAACACTATTCCGGCAAAAATTATAACATCAAATAATGGAGGCCAAACTGGGGCTTAATCTTCTATTATAAAATGCATGCATAAATTTTCTTCATCTTTCTTGAAAAAGTGTGTATTTATATATCTACAGTGTTGAATTTGAACCACATCAATTACTTGTTCCAACGCTCTTTCTTGAAAATTATGTGTATATATGTGTGTGTGTGTGTGTACAATGTTGAATTTTAACCACATCAATTACTTGTTCCAATGAAATGGTATTCTACACGTGAACATGTTAAATTTTGTTTAACGCATGCTTATATTTTTACTTTAAGATGCTCGTTTTACTTGTAATCTGTGGATGATGTGAAATTCCAATTTCGTTTTTTTTTTTTTTAGGTACATATCACTGATGGGATTAAGTTCGTTAGGGAGATGGCCAATTTTGAGACTGTTGATGTATCAACTAGTGATAAGAATGATACAGATAATGGAAGTTTCTCTAATGGAAGTAGCACCGAAGTGCATGCAGATGGAAGGAGCTCTAACAAAATTGACGTACTTATTATTGATGTTGACTCTTCAGACTTGAGGTAAATGTAACTCTATTCAAAATACTATTGTAACTTCATTTATATATTTTTCTGTTCATTTAAATTTGAATGTATTTGATTGATCCTCTTCTTGTGCAGCTCTGGTTTAACGTGTCCTGCGTCAGACTTCGTCGAAGAGTCTTTTCTTTCAACCGTCAAAAATTCACTCTCCGAGCAAGGCCTATTTGTCATTAACTTAGTCTCGAGGTCCTTGGCTGTTAAGGATAAAGTTTTCTCAAGATTACAAACGGTGAGAACTGGAGTTAGGAGTATGATCCTAACAAGGATATATACCAGTGTTTGCTTACGATCTCGTTGCTTGGACTATGTTTGGCTAAGCTTAAAAAGTTTTATGTACAAGTAAATAAGTTAGTTTAAGATAAATAATCTTTGTTTTCGCTTAAAGTTGGAAAAAGAGTAAGTTACTTATTTTGACAATAAGATAAGAGCTACTTTCATAATAAGTAACTATTTTTTATTATTTAAGAATTAAAATTTTTATCATATGCAAACATGACTATTTAATTCTTCTGCTCTTTAGATCTTACATTGTTTTGCCAAAATTCTATTACCTTTTTTATGTGATGCAATTTGTGTTGTTTTGATGAATATTTTCCAGGTATTTAGCAACATTTTCTCCCTTCAGCTTGAGGAAGATCTGAATGAAGTTATATTTGCACTCAAGGACTCTCCTATTGAAGAAAATCAATTTTCCGAAGCTTGTGATGTACTTGCAAGATTATTAGAGCTCGAAAAACCTGAGTGGAGTCGAAGCATCATAGATGGCACAAAATTGATCAAACGACTGAGATGATGAGGAAACCAGTATTCTTACTGAATCAAACATTTATACCCATAGCGTTGATTGTTCGATGTTTCATAGGACTTGTGGGAGAGAGTGAGAAGCTCATTGCCAACTTAGCCAAGCATGGAGGAGTATTTTCGTGCTTTTTGGTTTTGATATCACCTTCCCTAGTTTGTTGGGTAGGGTGGAATATTTAGTAATAGAGACAAAAAAAAAATGAAAGCTAAAATTTCTCTATTGTACTTGTCCAGTCGAGTCTAATATTATATACAAAAGTTGTCAACATTTCTTCTCTATTGGTAGTTTTGTAGTTTGTATATTTAGCCCTTGTTTGATGGTTATTATTAAGAAAAAAAATGATGTTTTGGATAATGATTTTTTGGAAAATGTGTGATTGAAAAGTAGGGAAAAAGTTTTGGGTTTACTGTAAATTATTTGAATAAAGCTATTTGTACAAAAAGAATTTGACAAAAATGTTGACAAACACTCACATGATTGCCGGCACCACGTGATTAAAAAATTGAAAATAAAAAGTGGGCCCCCACATGTGAGGGTTTGNAAAGCTACTAAAAGAAGAATAAAGCTATTTGTACAAAAAGAATTTGACAAAAATGTTGACAAACACTCACACGATTGCCGGCCTCACATGAATAAAAAATTGAAAATAAAAAGTGGGCCTCCCCACTTGTGAGGGTTTGTCAACATTTTTGTACAAATTCTTTTGTACAAGTAGCAAGGTCCAAATTATTTTATTATATGAATGTGATTGAAAATAAGTAGGATAATTAAATAATTTTGTTTTAAAAGGAGACAAACATTGGCTGCACATTGTATTTTACACACAATAATGAGAAATCTTAAATAAGATGTTTGTATTTTTGTTTAACCCATTTTAACATTGGAATTGTTGTTTAATCCATTATAACTTCATTTTATATGTATAATATATACTCATTACTACCAATATAGTATGTTTCTTATCTTTTATCGGACCCATGGACTATAAATTATTTGGTTAGACCCATGTTTCATCGTGGTACATGGGATCTTAGATCTTTGAATCCGCCAAGTCATCGTCTATGGCTTGGTTCTTATTAATTAGAATTTTTTTTCACTACCTTTTTAGATATGGCAATTTATGTTACAAAATTTATTATATTGAAGGTGACATTTTCTCACTAACCACACCAAGTGGTCATAAATGATATAACTTGGGTAGTATAGTAATTTCTACTATGTAGGTCATTAATGAGTCGCTAATTAGCCAACAAAGTCGACCCCACTAATCTCATTATTCATTATAATGATCAAAAATCAAGTTCTATATTATATAGATGTTCAATACCATAATATTTATGCTTTTGTTATTTGCTTTTGTTACTTCATATATTGAATATAATTAAACATAATGAAGTAAGAGACTTATAGAAGCACTTAGAAAATTTTTTATCGCGTCATTGATGAATTAATGCATACTTAATTAATATTCGTTACTTCAATAAACCAAATTACGAAACTACATAATTAAACTTTAGCATAGCTTAGCTGTCAATCGGTGTGACAAAATAATTTTATTAAATTTCCAGGAAAAAGCACTCATCCGACAAAGTAACTTTCAGACGACGGACCACCTCAACATGTTGGTTGTTAGTACGTTAGTTGATCCGACACAGCACATCTAGAAAGAAAGAAATTATCCCAAGTACAGTGACTGCTGACTGTCAACAGCACGTGCACCGTGCACGCACTCACTTGAAAATCTGTCTTAGGCTGCAAGAAGACAGACAAATTCGGTCTCTCTCTCTTTTTCTTTTTCTTTTTTTTTTTTCGTGGGTTTGTGTTATTAGGGATTGAGCTTGTTGGGTTTTGCTTATAATTAATTTTTTTGAAGAGTTTGGATCAATGGCAGTGAGTATTCTTTTCCATTTTTCTTGTGAATAATCGACATTAAAATATCTGCTTCAATTCTTGGTTTAGATTTTTTTAGAGTTGTAGTACTTTTACTGAAATCATCTGTTAATGGGTTTTCTTGTTTATGAATGAATTGCTGTTTGTGTGTTAAAAAGAAATCAAAGCATATTTAGGGTTCTTGAATGGCCTCTATTCATAAAATGTATTTATGCAATTCGGCTTATGGGGGAATATTGTATTAAAATTTAGGTTCCCCTTAGTGTTTTGACTATAAACAGGAGGTGTATGGAGAAGTTTTTTTACATAATGCATATTACTAAATTTATATACTATCTGTGTGGGTGGCATGCTGGAGCTTGGTGTAATACTTTTAAATGAAAATTCTGTGGGTTTCATTTAGATGATTGGATGAATCCTGTAAAATGAATCGTGGGTTGGGGTACGGGATTAGTTTGCTTAAGTAATAAATCTTGAGCAGGATTTGGAAGCAAGAATAGTTTATCATGGAGATTTTTTACATAAAGTAGCTAGCAATTCTGGTGGGTTTTTTAAGAGCTAGCTACTGGCTAGGCTGAATAAAGAGATGGCTCAAGAAATTTGTTAGTTGCTTGTCTTGGTAATTTGAAAGTATTGAGACAATATAGGGAGTTTATTAATGATTATGAAGTTAAGAGGGGTTAACAGTCATTGGCAAGTTGGAGATATTTTCGAGAAGCGTTTGCAACAATAGAAGAATTGGGGACGATCTCAAAAGTACCTTTTACTTGAAGAAGTATTGTGAAGAGCTTTAATTCCGGTAAAGATTTGCATATTATCAGAGGCCATCAATTCCTTAATCAAAGTAGTATTGGGTGTGATTGTAAACTTTTTTATGCGAACCACAATCAATCTGCTGGTACTTAATTCTTTTAAAGCATGAATCTGATGGAACCAAAAGTGTTACAGAAATGTGTATATTACCAAAGATGAAATCTAGAAAATGCTCCCCCAATAAATGGACACTTTGAACAAGTTAATCAACCGAAAAATGGTTTCTTATAGTGTGTTTGGTAGGGATTTTTGGGGGAAGAATTGATTTTTGAATAGTGATATGATGGGAAATGTGTGGTTAAAAAATAAGAAAAAAGTATTGATGTGATGGAAAATATTATTTTATTNAAGGGCAAAATCGCACTTCAGGTCCTCCAATTTTGCAGGGGCCTTGTTTTGTTAATTAAGGCTTCAATTAGAACAAAGAAGTCCCTTAATTTTGCTTAGTGGCCATTTTTGAAAGTAGTTGAAAGTTGAGTGACCGTTTCTGTAATTTTGGAACTTCAGTGACCATTTTGTCATTTTGGTGCAACTTCAGTGACGATTTGTGAAATTAACCCCCACACGGACAAAGCAACTTTCGGACCACCTCAACATGTTGGTTGTTAGTACATGGGTTGTGCTATGGATACATAAGTGTATCCATAGGGGTATCACAATGTACACTCGACGCCCCATCATTGGTGGGGCGCCATAGCATTTTCCGTTGGTACATTAGTTGATCCGACACAGCACATCTAGAAAGAAAGAAATTATCCCAAGTACAGTGACTGCTGACTGTCAACAGCACGTGCCCTTACAAATTCGGTCTCTCTCTCTCTCTCTCTCTTTTTTTTTTGGGGGTTTGTGTTATCAGGGATTGAG